TATTTGAAGACTTCTGCTGAGCAGCGTGGCCAGCGTGCTGTGTGGATTTGGCACCAAGCTTGCCATCCCTCTGAGCGCCCTTCGCCACGTTTCTGAGAACATCCTTCTTGTTCCTGTCAACCTGGAGAGACAAAGCAAACCTCAGCCCCGAGGAGAGCTCAGCTTGGTCAAACCCTGACAGCTCGCTCCTGTCCCAGCCCTGCTAGCCCAGGGGACATCCATGCGAAGGCCCGGGGTGACAAAGCAGTTGTCAAGAGAACAATAACACAACACCCACCAGCACATGGGCAGCGGATGAGTCTCCCACACTAAGTTCCTCTGAAAAATAATTAGTTGACTTATCGCCAGCTATTTAGCAATCTGTTGACTGCACCCCATTGGGGTCAGGAACACTACCCCGATTTGGATACCCTGTTCTGCCCAGACTCGCTTCAAGCATGAAAATCAAAACTAGACCCAAAAGTTTTCTACTTACATGCTCTAGTTTAGAAACTGGTTCTAAGGGTGGATTCAGGTGATTTGTCCGGACCTTTAAAAAGGGTCTGTAGGAAGTCAAACAAGATACCAGGTTATTTAACAGCTGTTGCAGAAAAGGTTAAATATCTAAAACACTGCTGGGTGTCTCAGCCACAGGAGCTTATGAGAAGCTTTTGGAAATCAAAAAGCTGTCAAGGAAGTACCATGTAATATTAATTCTTTTTCTTTTGCACGGCAACAGAAAAGCAACACGAAACATTGACATCCAAGGTTGCCACAAAACTTATGGCTTCCACTGACAACAAAAGTAACCAAAATGGTTCCTGCAGGCAGGGGGGCCTGGCAGGCAGGAGACCGCAATAGGTTTGGAGGCTCCTGAGGCTGCTGCCCCTGGCTGGTGTCCCGACTTTCCCCATGTGCCGCAGACAGCTGAGGTGCATCTGAGTCAGCTGCTGCCATGCTGCAGGTCACAGCGGTGTCTCAGAGCACATCGGCCAGGGTTTACGCTGCCATGGCAAGCCGCAGTGCTGCGGCAGCTGATTCACGAGCCCCTCAGCTGCCCAGGCACTGGCAGTGAAGCAGGGAGGTGGGGCGGCAGCCCTGGCTGTCAGCTCCCCCATCCTGTCGTCCTCCTCCTCCTCCTCCCTCTGACAGCAACCAGCTGCAGGGTTCTTCCACCCCTCTGCTCCGGAGCTAGCAGCTCAGCCATTAGGGAAGATTAATGTCTGTGCAGATATTTTTCTGTAATGGAAAAGCCCGGAGAGTAGGGTATTGTCCTCTATTCTGTATAAGTGGTGTACTATGCCATAAAGAAAGATCATGAATCTTCTCTCCTCGTTTCTATTATATTAGCAGTGTTTTCCAGAGCCTGGCACCAGGGACTGGTTTGCTCTTTCTGGTCTCTGATCCTGCTTCCCTTTATCTTCTCCCCATGGAGAAGTTTTACGGCTTCCTTTGCGCTGCAACGTCATGAGAAACACTCACTGCAACGGGGAGTCTTTCATGTGTTCAGGTCTGCCAAGCACATCAGCAGTTTCAATTAAAAGCTTTGCAGAAAGGTGTCTCGCTACCCGCAGCCTGCAAGCGGCTGCTGCACTCACAGCAGCATATCTGCATGCAGCCCGGCTCCAGAGGAACTGAGCAAGGCAGCAAAGGGGTCCCAGAGCCAGGTAACTCATTTAACAGGTGGTTGTAGCTATTTCCTTTTAAATGCACTGAAAATGCCCCTTCCTAATATTAACCTATCCCAGAAGGCCACTGAAAGCTGCCATTAAAAAGCAGCGGTGAGACTTGAACCACCCTTTCTTCAAGACCCAGTTACGAAGCTGAGTTGTTGGCAAAAACGCCTGTTCTGTCAGACCCAAGAGCCGAGATGAGAAAGTTTCACAGAGACTCAGAAAATACCCAGAAGAGACAATATCAACCAGCAGGAAACGTCACCACTCAAACCGTCCCTTTACTCCTGCTGCCAGTGACTCTACAGAGCGCTGCCGGGATGCTGTGGGGGCAGAGCCATCCCTGGTCGCTGCCTTGACAGCGAGGCACTGGCAGGAGGCGATTCTCTGTACGCTAGTGAATCGCTACGGAGAGAAGGCAGACACCGGCAAGCCAAGAAGTCAGCTTTACCTCAGAGAATCACCGAGTGATTTGGTTCGGAAGGGACCTTTACAGATCATCTAGTCCAAGCCCAGCATCCTCCTGACTTACTTTGCACTCGGGTATTTCAGCTTTTCTTTGGCTGCTAGGTACTCCTGGAGCCATCGTCTCCGCTCTTCTGCAAAGAGATGGTAGGAAAATGCAGTGCACGCACCACAACCTTGGTATTTGGAGCGCCAATAAGAATGGATTTCTTTTACACTCACAGCATCACCGTGCAGGTCCCCCACGCTCCCCACCTGAGCCTGGCAATGCTGTTCCCAGAAATTCCCAGAGCATTTCCATGCATGTGATATTGCCCAGAGGCTCATCAGCACATAAAGACCAGAGCTCTCTGACACTCACAGCGTGATGCCACTCAAAACCTCAGTTGTGTGGGGCATAGTCAATTTGCAGAAGTAAAGGCGAGATGCTGCCGATGACCCTGCTTCAGCTATGTATCCCGTAAGCCTGTACCCCGCTGTGGCCAAGCTCTCTGCTAACACAGGCAGGTGGGAAAAGCGAGGAGCACCTCAATGGGGGTGGGCAGGGGATACCTCTGACACCCCCAGTTTAGCTGAGGGCTGTGGTACTGGGGCATTGCATGGCAGGGACAGCCTGGCCTGGCTGGAGTCCAGCATCTCGCTGTCCCCAAGGCCTTGCCCCTGTCCCTAAAGCTGCCCCACCCTCATCTGATAGTCCACATGCCCAGGGCTCTGAGGACACCTCAGTGTGTCCCCCCGCCAGCCCTCTGCCCCCCAAGCCACCCCCTTCCCTTGACGCTGCACCCGAGGGCTTCCACAGAGCCCCAAGAGCAGCATGGCACCCCCGGGTGCCCCCAGTCTCCCCAGCACCCCAAGGCACACCCCAAACCCCTCCACACTGCCTGCCCTCCCAAACCACGTCAATGCACCCATTTCATGGGCATGCCCCCGCGCACCCCTTTCGGGTACACAACACCCTCACCCCGCCAAAC